GGAGTCCAGCCCGGGGTCGTCACATGTGGTTGCCGCAAGCCCGCCGACCGCGCCGTTCTCAAGCCCGCCCGCCTCCGATCACTCCAGCCACCGGCCTCCACTCACTCAAGGCCGCCGTGTGTGACGCTGTGGTTCGTTGTGAAAGCGAAACTACTTTGTTTGGCCTTCCAAAAATGGACACGACTAGAAATCAGTGGTTAAGTTGTATTTACAACACTGTTCCAGAACAGTTCAACCCAAATATTCAGATGTGTGCAGCACATTTTATGGAGGACTGTTTCCTGATCCTGGCAGAGTAGACTACAATGCCGGCTGTTCTGACACACAGACTGTAAGTACGTTTTCATATTTAAAGGATTTGCCACTGACGATTCAAACACGAGTTTTGAGCAGTGTAGAGTAGCGCTTGTTGTTTGTCATTTCGCCGATCACAAATGCAGACATGGTTTTATGTTTACGATGCGCGATGCAACGCAACGTGTAAAAAGACAGTATAAGTCATTATAATCCATAATTATGTCCCCACTGGATGCAACAAATGCCTTGTTTATAATGGGTTTTAATGTTTTTGTCTCTTCGCTACGGCCAGACAGGGCATCACAGTATGGTAGGGGCATAAAATTTCCGTCACACGCTTGAGGTATTCAGTCAATCACGTTTCAGAAAGGCGGGGCATAGAGGAGAAACAATAATGTACAGTATGTGGAAAATAATGTTTTTTGAACCTTAAACCGCATACACACATTTCATTACACCAAATACACAAAATAATGTTATTTTTAGCAACATCATATGACCCCTTTAAATCTTGATTTGCTTATTAAATGAACATTGCTACATTTAAAGAGCAAGTCTCTACTACAGTAGTGCGATAGTCTGGCTGTAGTCCCCTTGTGACCACTAGGGGTCATGGGTTGCTTTTGTTCTTTAGTCTCACTGAGCCATACATTTGGTGAAATAATGAAAAAGCAAAACTTCAAACTTTGATTGTTTGATTTGTAGAATTTTTTTTTCCAGCAAACGTCTCTCAATACTGTTTTGAGTATTTAAATGGGTTTTATTGATGAATATCTATTTATTTGGTCTAATTACAAAGGCCCAAAGTCAGATTATTCTTTTACAAATTAAAGCCTCAGCTGCAAAGCCAACCATCACATACATCAAAACCTCCTTTATACAATACATAACTAACTGTGACATCACTTCACACAATAGATAGCATTACTATCTCTCAAAACCTCGAAGACCACAAGAATTAAGACAACCTGACCGAATAAATCATTGTATGGAAATGTAAATATATTTAAGAAAAACAGATTTAGGCCTCAGACTCAAACATCTTCTTCCTGCCATCCATACCAGCCTTATCCTCGATGTTCTTACGCCAGTCTCCCACTGACTCCTTCTCCTGTAGCGCCAGAAAAAGTACAGTGTTTCAAAACAAGCTTTCATGTAATTTGTCTGCTATTGCTGTTTGTAAAAGTCTTTAAAAGAGATCATCTGAGTTCATCATCTGTCCACGTTTTATTGCATGCTCACCTCCTCCTTGACCTCTTTCTTGACCTGTTTGAGGTTGGCTCTTAGATCCAGAGACAAATATATATTTTTTGCATTCCCATTTAGCAAAAGAAAAACTCCACGATAGTGTTTTCATGACTTTCAATAAAAGGAAAAAAATTGAGACTGATAATGGCAGTCAGAAGAGAGAACGATGTAAAATTGACCATCCCTCAGCTGCATTAGAAACACCCTGGCATTAGCCTTAACTTTTTTTGTAATTAGATGCAAAGGTGATATAATACAAAGAATAGTGTTATAAATGTACATACATTTAAAAAAAAATACAAATATGAAAAACTTTCGAGGAATTACGATGCTGATGACCATTAAACGCTCATCACAGCCTTGTGAAAATGGTCCATTGTAATGCCTAGTTTTCTTCTTTGAATCATCGTAATTTATCGCGTTTACATTTAGGGTAGTGCAGAATGATGCAGCCATATTATTGCCACGAACAAAGGCTGCATTTACACTCGGCATTAACATGCGATCACCGCGATCCGATCAAGCAGATCGGATCATCAGTCAATCAGAACACGGCGCGTTTACATGTGCACACTGCACAGAGTTTCTCACTGTTTCTCACAGAATAACCACTCTCCTACAAGGTTTATTTCTTTGTTTTTAACAGCATAACAAATTGACCATCCCTCAGCTGCATTAGAAACACCCTCGCATTAGCCTTAATTGTTTTTGTAATTAGATGCAAAGGTGATATAATACAAAGAATAGTGTTATAAATGTACATACATTAAAAAAATTACAAATATGAAAAACTTTCGAGGAATTACGATGCTGGTGACCATTAAACGCTCATCACAGCCTTGTGAAAATGGTCCATTGTAATGCCTAGTTTTCTTCTTTGAATCATCGTAATTTATCGCGTTTACATTTAGGGTAGTGCAGAATGATGCAGCCATATTATTGCCACGAACAAAGGCTGCATTTACAC